GAAATGTCAGGTTCAGAGAGGTATATTTAGGGGAGAGGACTGGATGTGATCCTCAGTAGTTTTAGTTGTTATTCAGGGTTAAGACAGAGAGTAAGACAATTTATAGAGGAATTTTGGCACTGCAATATTACATTTCTAAGCTTTGAAATAACATAGCTTGTAACATTCAATATTTCAGGTTCTGGCAAAAAAAAAAAAGTTCTTGTATAATTAACTAGAAGAGGGGTAATTTTCATTTCCAAGTAGCTAAAGCATCTCTTTATACACACTGTATATAATACCATATATGTTAGGTATAAGATATAAAAAAAATTATTAAGGCCTATGTCTGAACGTCTTGCATTTGGAAAACTGAAGAACACTTTTGAAGGGAGAATTGGAAAAAATCACATTTCATTTCAAGGAAACAGATTAAATAGATAATAATAGATAAAAGGCAGGTTTAAAATTGTGAAGGATGAATGTCAAATGCATTTATCAAATGACTATGCATATAACAGGTCACAGCTTCCACATATATATATTTGTTATAGATGTGTGCAGTTGCTTAAGTGTACCTTTTCATTGCAAACACTGGAATACAATCTGTTCTTGTTTTACAGTGCTTTCCTATATGCATATCAGAATGCAATAATTTTATAAAATAAGATTAAATCTGAGAAGTAGAAGTAACAAATGGTTTAACTCTTTGAGAGACAGACTATTAAAATATTTGTCCTTTAGAATCTGAAGAGCAGGTGGACATAGAGTAGATTTGAAAATATTTCCAGGAAAGAAAGTAGAGAAATTTGATTTTTTTTTTTTTTCCGTTTTCCCTTTCAGATATTCACATCCACATTTTAATTAACTTGCTCATATAAATACAGTGGGATTGTTGTATTTTTTAAAATAACTCTTTACTGAATATGTCAACAAGATAATATATAGTGTATAGTGAGGTTTTGAAGTTAACAATACGTGCAACATGGCAGATTGCAGAAAACAAATAATGCAGGCTTCAAATTATCTATTTTTCCATGTTAACGATAGAAAGTATACCAAACACAGAACAGAATCAAGTGTGCATGTCTCAGTTAAAATAAATTTTATGAAAAATCACCTTCAGATATTTGGGACCAAGTGATGTTAACAATTTGTTTAGTAGCTTATCTGTTTCTGAGAGGATCAGAATTCAGATCTCATGAGGCACATTTCTACAGAGCCCGTCTATAATAAAAGCTTGACAAATCTTTTTTTGTGCTAGTTTTCCAGACAGACTACTAGCCAGTGTCCTTTTAAAGAGCAAGACATTCATTCTATGCTGTACAAAAGTGTAATGCAAAATGCTTCAATATTGCCTGTAGTATCATCTGGGGTACAAAGTGCCTTGTTCAGTAGAGTTCAAGGAATGAGTGATCATCAGCTTCCTAGGATTATCTATGTGTTTAGAAGAGAGTATCAGGCAGGATTTGATGAGGCTCACAGCCCATAACTTTTGGTTTTGGCACTCATTTTTGTTTAGTTTTTCCACTGAGCTGGAAATATAAGTAATGAGTAAACCCATTATTCTCATGTTCTAAAGAAAAATCTTTAATATCTCCAAGTTATAATTTAAGGTGAAGAAGTACTATAAATGGAGAATTCAATGGGAATTAACCACTTCACTGTCAAAAGCTGAGACTGAACTTTCACTTCAATGTCGTTAATAAAGTGCCTTGTGGAGATCCTTAAAACCATAACAATACAATATGCATAAATTTATTTCACTTGCAAAATTAAAATCTATACATTTTTCAGAGGGATAAATTTTCTCTCATGAAAAGATAAAATGACTGAGAGAAAAATATAGTTGAACTACTTTTGTAGCAAATAGCATAAATTATTTCTTTTTTTTTGTTTTATGTGACATTCAACATAGTCCTTTATTGGCTTACAGGGAAAGCTGCTAATATCTTTTCAGTTCAAAGTAACACAATCTCTAAATCTTCTTACGAAGAAATTCAGCACTAATGTCTGCAGTAAAAACTTGTTAACACAAAGTCCATGTGTTCATCAGGTGTTTGTTTCTGCCAGCAAGCTACATGCAAGGAACACTTGTTAGAGTGACAATCTGTGAAAATGAGGACTTGTTTGTAAATAAATAAGTCTTCAAAAGGAACCCAAGCACTGGACACAGCACTGTTATGATACTTCTTCAACATAATTTCACTTAAAACTCTTGTTTTATTCCACTCACCAATCTTTTCTGTACATTTATGTCAGCTATTAGCAACATACAATGGAAGATGGGTGAGATTTTGTCTGCAAACCATTGATTTGCCCCCAGGTCCAATGAACCTGTTCAGATCAGAACCCGGAAGTGAACATTTTGAATGAGTTGTATATGCACATATTTGGGACTTCTGCTCTATAGCCTTTGGTTAGTATCTGTGGTCAGATATTTGCACTAAGGGAGGATGACCCCATTTTTATGAAGCCCAAGGAAAAAAGTTACTGAACTTAAACTTTACATTGCCAAAGGTCATTGTCCATTTTTAATGCTTTTTACAAATATTTAACCTAGTGAAAATTGCCCATTACATACTTATGTGACCTGAAATGAAGCCTCAGCTGTTTGTGTGACCGACACTTTTGAAGCCTCCCAAACTCTCTTGTAGGTTGAAATACATTAACTCTTTAGCAGCTGGATAGAAATTAGAACTGGGAGAAACACTCTTCAAATGAAACATATGACTCTTCCTTTTACTACAACTGTGAATTTGTTTAGATAATATTCCCAGCTCTATCCACAAATTCTTATATAAGTGGCTTGCTACCTTTTTTCAGAAGTATATTCATAGAAAATAAACTTGTCAGTATCCAATGACAATATGTATATATTATTCTTCATACTGAAAAGAAGCATAAACTATGCTATCTTTAATATAATTTTGATTTTTTATCTAGGTAAGCAACTAATAGTTCACAGATAGATATAGATATACATTTCATCATCTGAGATCAAAATGAACAGTTTGTGAATGCCTTCTATTTTCACCCTATTAGGACAGTAACCATATTTGTTGTCATAAGTTTGGGCTTGTGGATCATTTACCTGCAGTAAGGCTGAACTCCCTGAATATGTCATCTGCTACAAATAAGGTGCCTAGCTCATCTTGAAACTATGGTCTCCTGAGGCTTAGAACAGAAGATGTTAATCAAGGAGGACAAAGATTCCTCCAGCATGAGTCACTGAAGTACAAAATTCTAGTAAGCGTGTACTTACAAAGGATGCCTTTTGAAATCAAGTGTACAGCTATTTATTTTAGTGAAATTAAATACTACATCCACACCCAATGGGAACCTCTGGCTCTACTTAATTTCAAACAAACTCCAGCATGCAATGGAATAGTGCAGAAGCACAACTATTTGCTGCTTGTCTTATGGGCTTTGGCAGCTAAAACTTATTAAACAAAAAGAAGTACCAACCTTCTCATCATAATTTTCAGTAAATAGGTCACAGAAAAAAACAAAACAAAACAAAACAAAACACTTTGCATAGACGTTTCTACCTAGAACTACATCATTTGAAATCATATGGCAGCCTTTTATTCAGCAAAATTTCAGTGACTTTACTACTACAGTAGCCACATAGATTGCCTAAAATACCTGTTATAGCTGGAGAAAATAGCAAATATACAGAATAGAGTGAAATTTCAAAATGTTGGGGGAAAGATGCAATTCCTTATATAATGATTGTAGTTTGACATCAATCATAACTGGATTCATTTTGCTGTTGCAGAAAATGAGTGTTATCATGATATTTGAATTTGAGAAACTGCACACTCACAGACTGCTGGGTTTCAAGAATGGGTTGAGTGAAATGAGCAAAGGAAAGGATTAAAACCCTCTCTCTCAACAAACAGTCTCATAAAGATTCCACAGTAAAAATGCTTCAGCCTTTACTTCCAATCCACTTCTAACAACTTCTCCTTGTCCCTAGCTGGTCATTGCAAAAAATTTCTCTTTGATTCCCTACTCCCTCAGGAAAGTTTTCTCTCTCTCTTTTTTTAATCTTTTTTGTGATTTTTTGCTTGTCCCCGCACTCAGGAAAAAGGGAGATACATTAAAAAACAAATAAACTGAAAGAAAGGAAAAATTAGATTCCACCACTGAGCTGGCAAGAAGTCCAGAATTCTTAGCAGTCACAGGGTCAATGGAGTGGTTGGAACATCCTATAATTTTGAGAGCAGCATCATTGTTTTAATACAAGCATGATGTTTCACATAGTGCATGTAAAGCTCAAGGACTCAGAAAGTACTCCAGCTAAAGAATTTGAGGGAATAAAAAAGCAAATTCTAAGTCCATCTACTGCTTATAAAGCACAGATCATTGTGGAAAACTTCAAAAAGGTTTATCTAAAGAAGAGTAATTCAGAGGGACAGTGCATACTTACTTGTATTCTCAAAATTCCTCAGCTAATCATATGCTTAGTTAATGTCCATCTCTGTATACTTGAACAGGAAAAAAAACAAAAGCAAAACCAACCAAGATTTAGACATGATTTTCCCTGCTGAACATATTTCAGTTCATAATAAGCCTTTCCAATAATAAATACATTAAAAAAATATCTTTCTTATTCGTTTTCTCTGTTTGTCTTTTCTTTTCCCACTTCTCCATACTGAATGTAACTCAGATCCCTAAATGAAACAAGATTTGAACTATGTAAGTTAATAGCAACCTTTTTGTTGGCATCATATTTTTCATCATGTTTTCAGCAATTTAGGCTTTTAGATTCCAAATTCTACATGAATACTGCAGAGCTGGGAGCATTCAGAATTTCCTTCATTTGGGGTTTACCTGAACATGCTGTGTCAACAAATGCTGCTCTATTAGAGAGAGGTGCAACTTAATAACAGCTATCTGTTACATACTCATAACCTTCATCTCCTACTGAGAAAGGTCAGACAATGCCTAAAGCTTCTTAATCATAAGGAAAAGCAGAAACAATTTCTATCATAAAAGTATATAGTATTGGGGGACACTTTCAGAGTATCTTTTGCAAATAGGAACCAAGGTCCCTTTAAGTTTAACACTGAGCTGTCCCTACCTTTCCTATTCCAAGTAAATTGGGAGAAAAGTAATTAAACAGTAAAGTGACCTTTTTGGTAGCACTCAGAACTCCAGTTTTCAGTTGGAGGTAGGAAATGCAGAACTGACAAAGGGGAACAGAAATATTTCCAATTGTTTGAAGTTCAACAGCAACTGCCAAGTTCAAGTCAGAAGGTTTGCACCCATTTTATCTGAATTGCTTTTGTCTGTTCCTAGTGACCCTGTTTTAATATGCACTTATTTCCTGTACTACAGGACACCTAGAAACTTAACATCCCTCAGACAGCTTCGACAGCAAAGTGGTTAATATTTGAAGAATGAGTCATTCTTTCCTTTGCCATGACATTGGGTTCTTATTGTACAACCCTGTACAGTACTTAGCAATATTTTTTAAAGATTTAAAAAGCAAAGAGTTACAAAACCATTTGCAATTAACTTGAAATAGAAAAGATAGCACTTTTTTTAAATCCCATTATATAGTACACCGTATAAATTACAGAGTATTCAAATGCATAAATGCATCTGGGTAACATTTATCAAATGTAATTTTTTCATTGTTGTTGGGAGGTTACTTTTTCCAGAGTTTTTCCTTTTTGTCCTAGACACCCCCATCTCCCTTCACTATCACGTATGACAGTGCTCCAGGTCTGAGACGTTGCTGTTGCAGTATCGCATGTTGTTGGGGATGTGGCAGTCTGTGTAGTTAATGCCCCCATTTGGGGTATAAATGGGCTGCAGTCTGAAATCTCCTTTAAGGAGCTGATCATTATTTAAGGAGACAATCTGGAAGCTGGTTTCCGTCATCTCCAGGATGGAGTTGTCCTTCTTGGTCCCTGCCTCACAATAGTCATCTTTCCGACGGCCCCGGTTATATTTCCACTTCTGGGAGGTGTAACGCCCTTTTTTGTGCATGTGCCAGCAAAAAATGCTGAGCAGGACCACGAGGACAAATATCACTGCACCCCCTATCAACCCTGCCAGCAGAAATGGGGAGCCCAGGTTCTGAGAAGTCGTCTGCTCATGGCTGGAGGGGATGTTGCTGCCATTGCTCAAAAAGGAAGCCTTGGTTGTGGCTTCTGAACAGACAGTGTCTTCTCCAGTTCGGTAATTGTTGTAAGTATCCAGTGGAACCAAACAAATCCGATAGGTGGATTTGGGCTCCAGATTTACCAAGCTTAAGTGTTGCTTCTCACCGCTAACTATGCGTTCCTGAACAATTCCTCCTACCAGACTATGGCCCATTTTAACCCATGTAATTTTATATGCCATCACGGTAAAAACGGACATCCAGTTAACTTGGATGCAAGTGTCATTCACAAAATGGATGGAGAGTTGAATCCGTTCAGATATAGGAGGTGTCACCCTTTCTCTGTCCTCCCTGTCAGGCACAGTGGGGAGTGTGGCTATGGTGGGACTGAGAGGATTATATTTGCTACCTGGGGGAGGAACTGATGAGGTGGGAACTAATGTAGTTGGCATGGCTGTTGCTGGGACTGGGGTGATGGTAAGTGGCAGGCCAGGAGTGGTGGTGGGGCATGACAACATATTCATATTAAGCTCCCTGACTGCCATGCCTCGGACCTGCTCTGGTCCCTGGCACATAAAACCCCGTACATTGATGGAAGCAGGAATAAATTTGAGCCATTCAGTGACCCACTTAATACTGCAATCACACAACCATGGATTATTCCTTACAGTGAGTTGCCTCAGGTTGTGGAGATTATCAAATACCCCCTTTACCAACATCCGAAGTTGATTGTTGGAAATATCAAGACGTTCCAGTTTGTGGAGGTTTGAAAAGGCTGTAAGCGGTATATGGGTTATCTGGTTGTCCTGCAGGTAGAGCCTTAGCAGATGTGTACCTGGAAGATCGGGAGGAGGGTAGGTCAATGAATTCCGCACAATTGAGAATTCCTTGAGCTTGGAGAGGTGGCTGAAGGTACCTTCAGCTATGCCTTTATTAGTAAGGAGATTGCCATCCACAATCAGGCGCTCCAGACTTGTAAGATTCTGGAAGGCCAGGTCTGAAATGACAGCAATTCGGTTTTCATCTACGCGAAGTTCTTGTAAGTCCACCGGAAGGCCTACTGGTACGCTGCTTAAGTGATTCTTGGATAAAAACAGAAGCTTGAGGCTGATGGCTTCCCGGAATGCCCCATCCTCAACGCCAACAGTGGAGATGGAATTGTCATCCAGGTGCAGCTCTTCCAGCTTCAAAAGCTGAGCAAGGGCAGCCCGTGAAATGGTCTGAATGTTGTTTTCCTGCAGATGAAGAACCCTGACATTCTTGGGCAGGTTCATGGGGAATTCATCTAATTGATTGCCATACAGGTAGACCGTGTGCACAGACTGGACATTGTGCAACTCTGCAGGAAATCCAGCGTTATTAATTTGGTTATTATGGAGGTAGAGGACGGTTACACCCTCCGGTATCCCAAGAGGCACTGAGGTCAAGCTTCGCTCATTGCAATAGACAAAGTTTCGGTCGCAGCGGCACACTTTTGGGCAGGCCAAAGTTTTGGACACCTGCATGTACAGCCCCAGGGAAAAAATAAGCCATGATTTCATCAGAATAGCCCAATCTGTGGGCCACATTCTAGTCCACAAACCCATTTCTAATTTAAAGAAGTAAAGTACCAAAGTGTTAAAGAACTGCTAACAATAATAAAGAACAGGTAGCAAAATCTCAGGTCATTAAAATTGGCTTCTATTTATGTCCATTGTTCAGGCCAGCGTTAAAGTCCTGGAGGCTAAATATAAAAAAATCCTTTTGTAATTGGCCTACCTCCTACTTTGGATAAGAAAGCCACAGTCTTATTAGCCAGGGTTACAAAGTTTGTTGCTTTCCTCCATGTGTGCTGAAAGAAATAATAGCTGTGTCTTTGCAGGTGAGCAACAGGTTAATTTAAAGCTACCAAAAGTTGTCTCTGTATGAGTTGCTTGGAGGGATATTTTCTTTCACTGAAGTCTGTTGGTGTTACACTCAGCTTTCTTAAGTCAGCAAAGTTCTCGCATCAGCTATCTGCTAGATCTGGCCTGCCTGTAAAAGAAAAGAGAAAAAAAAAAAAAAGCTGAATAGCTGAAATGTTTAACAGGTAAAATCAAGCCCACTGGAAGATTATTCTAAAGTTGTGCTTTTTATGGATTTCTGGAAAAAAAAAAGGTATTAATATTAAACATTGCTTAATATTACTGTTAAATAGTCTTGAAATAGATCTGATGCAAAGTCATTGCAGTGATTGAAGGACTTTCAGTGACTTCAGTGAAGGCAAGACTTATCACTTGTGTTTGCATATTGTACCACCAGTCTTTGTCCTCTCACAGTCTGTTTCAAATCCTAAAATGAAAACATTTTAAAAACCTAAAACTAAACCATTTAACTGGAAATTTTTGCTCGAGTATTTTTTTTTTTCTTTTGCAGAACCACCGACTTCAATGAACACTATTCACTGATGCCTGACAGAGTAGACCCTTGGCTGTCCTATTTAATCACACTCTATATTTTTTTTTCATTTCCTACCAGAATCTGGAATGTTCTCCTTCTATTTCTGTAATGTCGTTATGTATATTCTCCAGCTTAATGCACACTGGCGGATTATTGCACCTCACTACAGTGAATTATGAGGAAAGTCTTTTAAATAAGTGTGGTAATCCACAAATACAAGATACCCTGCTGTAAGGAATATATTTGCTAAAACAATCATCTTGATACTGTTTCTGATGTGAATTGTGCTGTCAACAGACTTCAGAATTAGCTTTCTACTAAATGAAACAGGCTCACATCTGCTAAGTTATTGTTTTAGGATATCAGCTCAAACTATAGCAGTTTTGCAGAAAAGCATTTTGAAACCATAAAGATTAGATACCTCTTTTTAAATCTGCTAAACAGTTTTCTATGAATGGCTATATAAACAAATTTGTTAGCTTTAGTATAGATGAGGTCTTTAATGTATATTTTCAGCTTTTAAGTGTATTTTTTAACTTTTACCTTCCCAGCTACTCTTTATTATTCAGATATATAACCAAGCAATTCAACTCTCTAAAGGATGAAATGAGTAATGAAAGATACTGTATTATATAATGTTATCTTGTCTTGTTATATGTTGTTTCCAATGACTGAAAAAAATGCTGCATTTTTTATACTTGAACCTAATGAAGGATATAAACCTTGACAAGTACCAGGCCTGTGTAGATCTTGGTGTCTCAAATTGCAGTTACATAAGCGCAGTATTTTTCCAGATTTTGTTGACCCAGATCAAAACTCACTGGCTGAGATTTCAGGAAAACTGAATTTCAGTGAACAGAAATCGTGTTTCAAAATCTTTTTTTCTTTATTTAAGTTGTTTAAGTACCATCCAAGTAATTCAGAAGGAAATGTAGTTCAGCAGTACATGAAAGCTTGTTCTTCTGCTACAGCTGTGCAGTTTATAACATGTCCCAAATGCTGCTTTTGGGAACCCCATGGATTGAGAGTGTAGAAAATATTTTTAGGAGTCAAACTGTTATAACCCTGCAACCTTTCACATGTAGATTACTATATTTATTTGGAGTACCGTCAGGTATCAGCTTCAAGGCTAGAACAGTTGGAGATAAAATGTGAGACCCTGAAAAGTCCTGTAACCTATCATTATGAATTCAAATGGTAAATGTACCTATACTGTAATGCAGCCTATACTGTGTGTTGTCCTTTTCTAGAAATGGCAAGATTTAACTACCCCACTGTTCAAGGTTCTCAGTCACACAGGCATATTTCAGTTGAGCATGGTTTCTTTTCAATTGTGTAAGATGACGTGATACTGTAGAGAAACTCTAACAGGATTACATTTTAATATGAGCCTAAGTGTGACAGTTTATCCGCCTTTAATATGGCCTGGCTCCCATCTAGGCCATACTGCCCTGATCTGTCATGACACTGTCTTTTTAAAGTAAGAAAGGATATGCAGAGGCTCCTCTGAGATGTTTGGGACCACACAGCATACTAGTTGTTCTCTCACTCCCTTTCCATTGTTGGAGAGAGACAGTCTATACCTCCTAACATGGTCAATACCCTGCACTGAGCTCTCTTTCGATTGTAAGTTCGATTGCTGATTAGGTTTTGTTTGACTCCCAGGTACGACAGAAAGCCCAGCTGAGGACATGCAGCCACAGGTAGCTGCAGCTCCTGATTTGCTGGGAATCTCCTAAGGAGAGAATCTCGTATTAAAACTGATTTATGCATTCACCTTATTCTAGGAGTCTGCCCAGAGTACATCTCACCTATGTAAATGTGACATCTGAATAAAAGATTTCAGTAAAGGTTCTAGAAAATTGGGTAAAATACACAGCACTTCTCATTAGGTATTGCAAGTAAAAAAGCTTTGACTGGTCACTTAAGTGTATCAGTACTTTGGAAGCTGGCACTCTGGAGTTTATCTCCTTTTTATTGTTACATGGATTTTGCCCTTAGAGATCTGTAAAAACTTTCCTGTTGATTTCTCCCCTTATGATGGTGAGAAAAGGACTCCTTTTATTAATGTTAGTATTCTAATCTCCTGCTCTTGGTCTTTAATAAACAGATACTTTAAAACTCAGTACAGAAAATATGCACTGGTAACTACTGTTGATTGTATTAAGCAAGAGCATATGTACAAATCTAATTAGATATTTATGACTTCAGCGTTAACTGTGGTGTGACAGAGGGAAGGAATGAGGAAGCAAGGATACAACTGAATGTGGTTAAATAAATTATTTTGGAAAAGCTTTACCTCTGTAGTCTTTTACAACTGTTTAATAATAACTCATAGTAATAGTCATAATTGCAGTATTTTTCAGCAGATCTCAGGGATCCTTATGCAAAAGTGAGTTGTGTCCTTGTGTTAGACATTTCTACCCCAAAGACATTAAAAAAGATTGAAGAGCTGAACCACCTGCCTGATTTAAAAAATAAACTTTGTGAAGGAAAAACATCCTTGGCAAATTCCAGAAGGCTGGAAAAGCTGAAACAGTTTGTTCTTTAGCAAATTGACAAAACTGAAAGCAGGTAAAGTAATTGAGCTTTGTCCCGACCCTTCCATGTTGGCTTCCTAAAGCAAGCTCTCTGTTTTCAATATGCTTACAAGAACTGAACTGCGTCTCTGTGTGAATGAACTCATCATTTGCAAAAGCAGAATTTTGGAAGTGGAGGAATTAAGAGCACTCAACATGTTTAGCTTTCATGATTGTAAAACTTGGGAATTGACTCACAAACTATAGACGACAGTGACTTTACTTATTGTGAAGTGAGAAATTTCTAAAAACCAGTCTAGGAAGAGAGGATGAGGGTAACGGAATCTGTCACAATCAACTTAAAATTAAAGAAATCAACAAGCAAATACCTCAGTAAAACACATCTGTTCATCATCACCTTGGTCATTTTTCTTTCTATTTCCTTATCCTGTAGACTTGATTTCTATTATTTCTCACTATATTCTTCTTGAAGCACAAGCCATATCTTTCAAATGTCTAGGACATTTCCTGTCTAACTGCAGCCAGGATATTAAATCCCATTAGGATTTAAGGAATGATACAATAAAATTGAGAAAAGCACATTGAAATAGATAAGAACATAAGCACATGTTTTAGGTGGCCATGTCTGAATATTTAGCTTAGTGGTCTGAGTTCCTGACATCAATGTAAATGTTCCCTTTCGTATCTTGAGAGGAGCTTCAAATCAACATTTTTATCTCATTGTCTTTTTTCAAATCTGCCTTATTTAATTCCATTTTGGCATGACTAATGCTAGCTGGAGAAGAACAATTCTGGTTCTGAGTACTTCATAAAAATTTCAAATTTGAATTTTTTTTCAATACTGGAACTGAACAGCTCCTTTCAGGTGTTTTGATTAAAGGTATTTAAGGGCTGAAACATCTAGCTGCAGGTTGGGAAGGTGAAGGTTTTCTTAATCTCCCTTTCACTGATCAGAAGCATCCACACAACTTAAACTTTTAATCACCTTGCTATGCATAGCCATGAAATAATTTAATTTCAATAAACAAACATGTTTCAATAATTAATATATAGCTGAAAATGCTACTCAGTCATAAATTTGTGGTATCTGGGAAAAAAACCCAACAGCCCACTAGCAGCCTGTTTGTGGAACACTTTCCTACCTTACTGACCAGTGTTGCCTCAATGGCTGGCTGTGGTGTCAAAAGAAGCTCCAAAGCTGCCATTAGGGCCATCCTCACACCTTTCATGATGCAGTTTTCCAAACATGCAGTCTGAGGTATAGGACTCAAGGTCTCTGTAGCTTCCTGAGAACATATTAATGTTCAGGGAAGATAACAGAGAATCAAAGGAGGATGCAGCACAGCCTGCATATGAATACTTACAGTGCTATGTTACAAGCACAGGAGTTCTGCTGTGCTTCTGAGCCAGGTTATCTGTCTTCATTAGTCTTCCCATGTTTTATATTCAGGCTAATAATTTTTAGAGGGGCTAATATTAACAATATTCAGCTATTCTTCCCTTCAAGGAATCCTGAAAATAATAAAAAATAGATCCTAGGGATCCAAGTTTTTTTCTCTGATATTCTAACCACTCAGCACCACTTTTCCTAGCAGATCATCCATTTACCTAAACGTGAGTGCCATGGAACATAAATTGAAAGGCAAACAAAACCAAATGGTCATGTTTACTCTTTTCACTACTACCAGTTAGTGACTCTCACTTAGTACAAAACCATTTGGTATAAATTTTCTTGGCTTTACTGCAGACCAAGGTCATAATCAAGTCATAATCTTACCCTACATAATTATAATATACAGTAAGTACAAGGCTATTATGTCTGGAATTGAATGATAACCAGAAAACAAATTTATTTCCATTAGTCTGAAACCTAGTACAGTGTTCCTAGTGCTTCTGCAAAATGTCCCTATATTTGTATCATCTGGTAACAAAAGTAATTATGGAATAATACCTGACTTTTTTTTTTTTTTTTCTACATAAGTAGAATTCCCATCTACACATGAATGAGCATCCTGCTTTAAAAAAAAAAAAAATAAAAAAAAAGAAGGCAAT